CCCCCGCTCGCGAGACCTTCGAAAAACATTCCACAAACATACATACCTCATGGCTGCCGTCCATGCCTCTTCCCCATCTCCTTGCTCAGGATCAAATTCGCTGTCCTCAGCCTCTAACATGGTAGCCGATCTCCCAAGCTCCTCGAAGAGAGAATCGCCTCCTCCAGATGCACCAACTTCTGAATCGTCGGTCAGCCTGAACAACATCCAGCGCACAGTTATCACCTTTTTTTTCAGCCAGAAAATGTCTCAGCATGCTCAGTCCCGTCACACGGCATCCGGCGCATGTTTCTCATCTTTTCTTTTCTACAAGTTTTTTCTTTTTTTTTTTCAATCACACCATTTCCTGTGGAAATGGCCCCTCAATTTCCACCCCGAAGGAAGATAGCCCGCGCTCACATCTGTGCTGTGCTCCTGTAGGCCCACTGCAAGAAATGTCGCTGGCACGTCTGTGCAGTGCACATGAGTAGGGATGTTGCTAAAAAATGAATGGGTAAGTGAATGCCGATCACATCCATCACTGCCATTTTCACACAAAATACAACGCACGCTGCTATGGAAGGACATTTCACATCTTCATATTGAGGTGATATAGAGGGGGCAAAAAGAATGCAGACCATTACACAAGGATCGGTGGGCTGTAGAAAGGATGTATAGACAACCACTAACCAGCGAAACGCATACTCACACTGCCTTTGCTCATGCTCAGTCAACAAATTGAACTGCACTACCTACAGTAAGGAGGTACCCATTGCGCCACACGTGCATGTGCGTACCTCTTAACTCTCTCTCACGCACACAGACACATGCATGTGTATGAAAGTCCGATCTCCTTTCGTTACTTTCACCTGATACATGTTGCTTGCCGGTGATAAGCAACCGGACTGGCGCCCCCCAGAATAGATGGGCCATGTATTTTTTTTGCGTGTTAACTGTGTTAAAAAAGAAAAAGAAAGAAAGAAAAAAAGGCCCAATGAAACAGTCTGGCACAGTCATGCTTTTTTTGTGGAGTTGTATAGCGCACATGACAACACACACACACACACACACACACACACACACACACACACATTGGCAAAAACAAAACAAGTGCTCAAACTGGGACACTTCATCCCCATCGCTCTGCCGCCACTCCCCCTTGCATCCCATTACCCTTATCGCCTTCCGTTGTTTCCCTCCCCTCTTCTCCTCCTCACCGGCTCTACGTTCCTATTTCTATTACCCCCTCACCCCTGCTCCATCTCCTCTTTCCCTCTCCCCCCCCCCCCCCCCCCCTCCTCACTGGCTCTCCCTTCCCGTTCCTATTTCCCCGTCCCCCCTGCTCCTTCTCCCCTTTCCCTCTTCCCCCGCCCAATTCTCTCTCTCTCTCTCTCCTGTCTCTTATACACATCTAGATGTGTATAAGAGACAGGCATACACCTTCTTCTTCTTCTTCTTCTTCTTCTTCTTACCCT